AAAATATTCTTTTAAAATTATTCAGTGTTAAGTGCCATACACATCTAGAAGACTTTTAATACAGCATTACTTTGAATATCTGTTATATAATAGTTAATGATATTAACATAAATAAATCCAATATGTATACACATCATTTTGCATATTTACTTTTGGCTAGTCCTGATTTGGAGGCTTCTTTTGGGTATTCAGCAAGTAGTAGTTAAATTTACTACAATATTTTGGCTAAGAAAATGTATCAAGAAATTGATGATAATTATTCCTGAATATTAAGGTTAAAAACAATATTGAAGTCATGAGTTTCTCTCTACATTTGTGATATAAAATACTGCTTGTTTAGTTGCTGAATGTGCTCTTTAATACTTATATTATCAACAACTTATCAATTATACAATATCAATTCTGTTTTTTCATATTCTGTGCTTAAAAGTAATTAAACCTCGAATTGCTACTATTGACATGTAGCATTTGGGAACATTTTTGTTTTTCTTTAAGTTCAATTTGACATAGACTACAACTAAATGTCATTGCATTTTAGCTATTAAAATTACTTTGCTCATGTCTTTTTAAATAATGTTTTATTTATTTAAGTTCCTATTAGGACCAAAATGTTCAGACTATTGAAAATGTTAATTCTTTAGTAGTAATCATCATCAGTTTGTCAAACAAATCATTTACAGAAAAACATAACAAAGAACCTCCTGGACAGCTTGTACTTAAATCTGTGCACGTTATTATCATTGTACTTCAAGATCGGTTCCATTAGTTTCTGTGGGAAAAAGACCCATTTTCTTGTTCAGCTGAGTTGGTTGCCTTGTCATAGAAACGCCTAGAGTATGGCCCCTATCCACTTGCCCAGGCCTTCCCACCTCATTGTTGACATTTCCTGGAGTTCAGTGGTTTCTCCCACTTTGTTACATTCCAGAGCTCAAGGCACTTCTTTGAAGATACAAGACCATTCAAGTCTTCTCTACTTTGCAGCTTCACTCTAAAGGGAGAGTAAATGAAAAAGCCATGCAGTTCAGACAATTTAAATGGGGCAGCAGGAGGGCATGCTATTGCTCTGCTGGGAATAGCTGTGAGTGACCCCGAATCAACTCTTGGGGGAAAAACGTTGGCGTGGAGTGACCTTTCTTGAAATCAGGATGAAAACAGTAGGAGAAAGAGGTTGGATAGTCCCCTATGGAAAAGTAAACTGTGGCTGGGAAGAGACTACAGAAAAGGAACGTGTTGACACAGTCAACTGCGGGTTTAATTCCTGATTTTGCAAAGCACTTCAACAGGTGGCTTTAATTGGTAGATGCTGCCTTTTTTAACTAAAGAAAACAGGGTTAGTCACAAAAGTCAAGGAACTCCAGGGGTTTTTGCAGTTTGACTTTCTAACATCACATATCAGTTAAGAAATTCTAAAGATTTCAAAATCTTATTCTGAAATCACAGTATTTCCCCAACTCTTTTTCAGGATTCCCCACCCTCATCATGCTGCATTGTAGCACATGTGTGCATACACCTACATAGCCACTGAGAACATCAGTAGCTCTATTAGAACTTACAGAAATTCAATATATGTGTATATCATACAATGATATCACACTACATGATATCCACTGCACTATCATATAGTGGGAGAAACAGGCAGAAAACCATGAGTCCAGATCCAACTCTGCCAGTTTATTATTTGTTCAGTCCCCTTATATAAGAAATGAAAAAAAGGAAATATTTTCCTCTGCTTACTTCAAAAAGGTCTCCTTCATGGAGAGTTGGGGTTGGGGGTAAGGGGAATCAGTGAGGACTTGAGTCTACCTGGCTTAAGCCTCAACTCCTTGTGAGTATAAAAGGAAGTGCTCATATTTTGCTAACTGTCAGTTTCCTCTTTGCCAAGATCAGGGGTGAGTCTAATAGGCTGACTCGACAGTTCTATGCTGGGAATGTTTCTGAGATTGCCTCTGAGCTTTAATGAAAAGATCTGAGAACCACTGGTGGTATCAGGCCTGGTCATTGGATGGAGAAGTAGCAGGGGGAGAACTGCAATCCCAGGATGAGATGGTCTTCTAGGATCCCCTAGCACAATATTTCAATCATGTTATGGCAATAAGATGCAATTGAGATCATGTGTATGAAGGTTCGTTTAGGATGAATATCTTTTTCTTCTTTACATCATTAGCAACCAGTATACAATCAGTACACAAAAAGTAAGTGTGCTTTGTATAAGGGAGAATGTGAGTTACATGAAAGTGATGGTAGTATTAACATAGCAGCCGTACAAATTGTTGCACACACAATCCTGCATTTCCTCATCTGCTGTGACAGCACTTCAGAGTCTCACGTGTATTTTCAGTCTTGGTGAAGATGCCCCAGTGCTCCCCAGATGGAAACATTTTCTCTGTGTAGGTCCCAGATACAAGCCTTTGCAATAGATCTAACATTCTCTTTTCCAGCAATTTGAAATCCAGTTTATTAGCATCTGTGAATTTTTTGCCTCAAGAATTTTCCTAAATTAGCTGGATATTAAAGCAGAAATGAGCATATCTAAAATTTTGTTACTCTTCAATATCCTGGCCTGAATCAAGTCATATGTGGTTTGAGAATGAGCAGTTTACACGATTTGGGAACAAAGGAAATGGGTGGCATAAGATAGAGGCAGTTTTAATTATCCAGTTGACATTTATTGAGCACCCAGCAAGCGCAAAGCATTATAGTAGCTGTTTGAAAGGAATAGAAATGACTTGAGACCACCTGAAGAGAAACATATCAACAAGTGTGAAAGCATAAGATAATTGCCTTGCCCATTGGAATGCATGGTGACAGTTATTAGGACACACAAGGATTAATCAGCGAAGATTCCTGGATGTGCTGAATCTTGAGCCAATCATTCAATTATAAATACTGACTTACACAGGAAAGAGTCATTTTCTTTAGAGCCTTCCCTAACTACACAAGTATGGATAGGCTGGACTTCTGAATGAACCCAACTCTTGTTTAAAAACTAAAATAACTTTAGGATATATGAGGAAAGTATGTGCCTGAGGTTGGCAAGTGTGCAATCTTCTTCCCTCCTCCCCCTCCAATGCCATTATACTCAGAGAGTCTATACTTTATGTTAAACAAGAGTAAAGGCCTGTGAAGAATTCATAGGTAGCGATTCCTTACATATAATGCCCTGTCAGTATCTCACAGTCTCCTCCTGAAAACTGGTGGAGTGAGGGGTTGAATGGGAAAATCTATTCAAGTAAAAAATTCACAAATTACAACCTGGCAGGGACATTATTAGTAGAGGGTTGCATTGCTATTAGTCCCGGTCATTTTTAAAAGTTAATTTCTAAGTTTAAAATGGGCAAGTATATCCTCAAAGCAGTTGTGTGCATCTTTTTCCATTGTATTGTTTAAAGAAGGCACTTTGGTTACAAGATTCAACCTTTGCTAAAACATAAAGCTGAGACAATCACAACAAAACACCTCCCCCTTAAAACTAACACTTCAGAGCCTGTGAAATCAAAAGAAAAATTCTTTCTCTCCTCCCTAGTCCCACAGCCCCTCAGGATTTTAAATGGTAATGACCAGTTCATTTGAGAAAATGGCATTTTAGTGCTTCCCTTCACAAGCTCTTAAGGCGGATAAGGTATCTTTTTCCCAGTGATGTGCACCTCCTTTTGTTTTCTGGCATTACTGGAACTGACCTGGCATGGATCACTGGGTGAACAGGCGATCTTAAACACTTCTCATATAAATTACTGGTTCCTTTCCAAGTGCAATTGCTCACAGAGTAATACACCATTTTACAACTCTGATAGCAAAGTCTCTTCGTTCTATCGGCTCCTCCCCCATCCCCACCCCCACCCCCAAGAAATGAACAGACAAAAAGGGATGGAGATGTGAACCTCAGAAATGTACATTCTGGTTTAACCTTGAATATATACACAGTGTGCAATTTGGGATCCTTCAATTCTCACCTCAAACCTTCTTTTCCTGCTTTAAAAGCCATCAGCAAAAAATAAAAATGTCACACTCTACATATGTGGACACTATAAAAAGCAAAGCAGTAATAAATATGGAAGTCTACTAAAGTGTCTTTTCAAAATTTTCCAGAAAACAATGCTTACATTTTATGATCCACATTTGTTGGGTAGAAATGACACATCTTGCTTCCATGCAAATGAGGCTTACCATTAATTGAACACTCCAAGAATCACCAGATGCTAATGATGGTCACATTTTCCAAGCCATTGTCTTTTTTTCCCATGAACTCTAAAGACAAGGTATGTTTTTCCTGACAGTTGACTCAGATCAGAGCTTGCAGTATTGTATTTCAGGTTGTGGCTCTGTAAAACCCTGTAACTTTCTTTGAAGTTAAACAGTGTCAATCTGTTTCCATGTCTGAATAACTCTTAGAAGAGCCTGCCTGACCCAAGTCAACTCTTTGAAACATACTATTTCCCCATAATTGATGTTCCAAATGAATGTCCTTTCATAATAAAATGTGCTGGAAAACAAAACAGCTTTGCATCCCGCACAAGTTGCATCATAATTAAATTTTATTTTATCCCATCGAGGCATGCTAAATGTTGAGCAAAATATAATTTTAAGTAATTTGTTTGTATTCTTATCTGTAGGAGTTGGAAATTAACAGCGTTGCTAGTTTGCGTTTACTGTTAAGCCTGGAGAGCAGAGAGATTGCTTTGCAAACATTACAGTTATTATGTCTGCAGTTGGTACTCTTTGTATAAATTATTGATCAGCCAGCTTATTTTTCTTTCTGCTTAATGGATATTATAGCATAGCCGTTTACAACGCTATAGTTAAGGTTGTGTCAGCACTTCCATTATAATAAACCCTCTGTTACAGGGGGTTTATAACTTGTTGTAAAAATTTGCTCTGGGCTGAAACTTGACATACAAGATCTCAGGCTGGAAGGTGGCAATTGTTCTTCTTTCAACTTTTTAAAAAATCTTTTTGTTCTGAAGGGTAATAAACAAATAAACAGTATTCTCTTTTAACAATCCTGAACTATCTGACTTCAAATAGAACAATTTTGTAGGCTATTTATTACACAATGACCTCTTCTTTTATTTAATAAAGCAAAGAGAAAGGGCCAAGATAAGTTAAAACAACAACAACAAAAAGCAGACAGTGAATCAATAGAAACTTTTATAGTCAGGTTTAGTACATTTCTTCTAACATTACAAATTATACAATACTTTGTTTTAATATTAAACATGCATTCACACTACACAAGACTTCTTCCCACCCCCATCCCCAACTGTGTATCTGTTAGGTAGTCCATGTCTTAATACTGACCTTCTTTAGAATAAAATGAGTTTTATGTTATTAAAAGAGAGAGGAGTAAGAGAATTAGGAAATGCTACGAATGCCAAGATGCAATTAAAGATAGAATATTTATTAAAAACTAGGGATTTAAATATCTGGCTGACTTTTTAACCTTACTTCAACCCAGTATGTCATTCCTCTCACAATGGCCTGATTTAAGAGATGGAGGGAATTAATCTCAATTTATATTATTCTAGTTGCTGCTTCCTTCTACAATCCAAGTCTAAAATGATCTCACTGTGTTTGTTTTGTTATCGAATATTTGGCTGTGCAACACAATACCAACCCACAGATGGAATTAGGACACTTACACAGGAAGTAAGTACTGATGGGCAAGTATAACTGAATTATCATAAGGAGTTCACCTCTTCTCATGGAAATAATGCAGTTTGGAGACAGAAAAACAATTCCATGATGATTCTTTTTTCTTTGTAACTCTTTTTTCTCTACCCTCTGGGTAGAGAGATTTCTTAAAATGTGCTTCATAACCAGCCACATGTCACCTTCATTCTGAACCAGGAGAAAAGTGGGTGAGAAAAGAAGGTTAGGGAGGGAGCAACAGTGGTGCCAAAAACAAGCCATTTTGCTTTAGATAAGCGGTTCTCAACCTGTGGGTCGCGACCCCTTTGGCGGTCGAATGACCCTTTCACAGGGGTCACCTAAGACCATCCTGCATATCAGATATTTACATTACGATTCATAACAGTAGCAACATTACAGTTATGAAGTAACAACGAAAAAAAATTTATGGTTGGGTCACAACATGAGGAACTGTATTTAAAGGGCCAGAAGGTTGAGAACCACTGCTTTAGATCATTGCTATAGGCATTCAGTATACATATAGATAGTCCATGCATTCTCAAACTGCAAAACAAGTCCATGTTATTTGTAACCATTTTCACCACTTCTTTGTTAAGAATGGGGTTCTGTAACATAAAGTTTGAGTACTGCAGGTTAGAGTATGTTCCCCTTGAGCTCCCCACCTTCTGTCCTTTGGGTAATTTATCACCAAGCTCTCTGCGCCTGATTAGAGAATGTAGCAGTGAGATAAAAGTCATACTCCTTGTTCTGGAAAAGAGGCAGGCAATTGGAAAAAAGAGGGAGACTGTGGAAGTGAGAGTCACTGAGAGACAGAAGTTGGAACCCTAAGTGGAGAGGCAGAATGGAAAAGTGCAAAAGTAGAGAAGTCTTTACTTAAGGCAGCCTGGGCTGAGCTGATTGGTGAGGCCGTGTGTCTGAGTTAAAAAGGCTTGAGAGAGTTACTTGGCATAATTTCTCCGTCTTCAATGATTTACTACTGAAGTGCAAACATCAATTTTGGACTCTCTCCTGAGAAACGTTTAACAAAGTCAGTGAACTACTGGTACCCTGATATCTTTCTAAATTTGCCAAACTTAGATAGCTCTTTAATAAACCTCTGCCTGAAGTTTATCTCAATCTTTTTCTTCTTCTCCTTCTTCTTCTTCTTCTTCTTCTTCTTCTTCTTCTTCTTCTTCTTCTTCTTCTTCTTCTTCTTCTTCTTCTTCTTCTTCTTCTTCTTCTTCTATTAAGGACACAGGTCCATCAGTAAATATGCAGATGTTAAAATAACCTTCCTCTTTACTTCTTTCTCCGTTGTGATATATCTTAGAATTGTTCAGAAGTGCACTCGATTGTTAAAGCTATTTGTGCCGGGTGTGCTAATGCACTCTTTGATTGAGTGAATTAGCAGTCATAACAATCTGGCAGTCTGGCCATAGAAGTGTGCTCAAATTGATTTGTGTTATGGCTGGACTGGAAAATCTAGTGTTAGTTGTTTTTTGCCCTGGGGCATTGTTCGTACGAAACTCCACTTTTCATTTAATTTTCCAATACATTTTGAAAGATGGAAATGCTTGTGATCAACATTTGATCCACTTGCATTATTTAAAAAAAATTCTGAAAGTAATTTCAGATTCCAAAAAACCTTGCTTTCAATTAGAGTAAACATAATTAGAGTGACGTCGTGCTCAGAATGGTAAGTCTGCCTTTGAATCTATTAAGCATGTTATCTCCTTGTCCTGTCACTAAAAGGGATTCAGTAGATATCTGAAGTATACATCTGTATTTTTCTGTGCATGCTTCTAATTGAACTTGGCAAAAAATTAAAAGGATAAAATTGTAATGACCCTTTTCTTGTTGCCCTATCTGCATATGCTCAAATTGTTTTTGTATCGTTTAGTGATGCTATAAAAAAAGAGGATACTCAAAGCTTTCAGGAAATTTTGAGATATGCAAGAAACACATTCAAATATGTATTGCCAGTTAATCATTTTAGGTTTAGATTCTAGGAAATATGCATTTTTCAATCTTTTTCTTTCAAATAACTATATCAGTTGCTATATTGAAATTCTGAAGGTTTAAAGACATGAATTATCTTGGCTTTGTCAATATTTGTATCTTTCTGACAATCTTCTGCTTTGCAGTCATTTACCAGAATTATAATGCAGCATGAATAAACCTAAAAAATGACTATTGATTACAGAGAAAGCTTTGTGAAATCATTTAGTCAGTTTCCCTACTTGAGAAATCATTGAATAAAATAGGTCAATATGTAAGGATGAAATGGATGTAATACAATGCCATGCCCCCTTGAGTTATAAAAAGGTCAAAAATAAATCCCCATGGAATTCATGATTTTATACTCATAAAATAAAATGATACTTACCAAATCCCAACTACAAGTCCACCTTTCTACATATTTATTCTTCTTTTTTTAAAACCACAGGTTTTGAAAGTATATGTTTATGTTTCCCTGTTTCAATAGAAGCATTTCCTTGTCTCTGCCCCTTTTAACCAAATAGGATGCCCTCATCTTCCGACTCAAGTGCCTCTTGTCATCCCAGGTATTCACGGGGACTTTAGCGGCAACAGCTACTCTGTATTTTCTTACTGTCTCCTGCAACCTTACAGCTTTTCTCAAAACTGCATTTCGTACTGCACTGAACTCTGCATCCCGGGCCGATTTTTGTTAATAGATGGTGAGACCTGAGACCACTCTATTAGTTCCCATTCATAGGGATCTTGTGGGGGGCAGGGGAGGAGGAAGGAGAAAGAGGAGAGGAGGGGCCAGAAGGGGGCAGAGGGAGGGAAGAAAATACCTTCCCTGAACTGGTACAAGCTCAGCTTCAAAGGATATCCTAGGAAAGAAATTAAAGACTTCTTAATTAGTGCAGCAATTAAGCTTTCTTGGTAGCATTTTAATCAGCAGAGGCCCTATCAAAGGACAAACAGAACGATTTGCAGGTCTTTGAATTTTAAACAGTCTTATTGATTTCAGCACAATACGTCTTCACAAAACACAGGGAGAATTTTCTAATATCAGTTACAGTACTTTGAGTTTTGCTTATGCAAATTGAGTGCAGGTTGGAAGAGATGAGAAGGAGGGAGAGGACCTGAAACAACCAAAGACGTAAAACAATAAATAAACAAGACAGAAGCTTTGAAAACTAAAAATGCAATGGAAAGAGGGAGAGTTTGAAATTTCCGTGAAGCTGACTTATCTGTTAAATACTGTTTGCCTTAATCATTGATAACATTTCTAAAAGAAAAAAAAAAATCTGAAAAAATGTCAAGGCTTTTCTTTCCTATATATTTTAATTTGCATTATAGGCTTTTTCTGATCCTATTGTTTGATCTGAGGAGTGAGTGATAGTTCCTAGAAACAGTTTAGAGAGCAGAGGTAGGGGGGAGAAAGGAGGAAGCCCCCATTCAGGTGGGGGCAAATGCCCAAAGCCCTGCTTCTGAATAGAGCACGTGCTGGGAGGCACAGGTTTCCCTGCAGAAAATGTGGAGTTTGCTTCCAAGCAGAGTGGGATTATGGTTCGGTCAGCTATCATTACTTCCCATCTGTGGCTTCTGAATGTGGCAGCTATTGGGTGAGTGACGGTTTAAGGAAACGTGAGAAATGAGAATGGTAAGGGCAGATGCGGGGCACTTAATTACCATTTATTTTCCATTTGCAGATCTAGAATCTAAAATGAAGAAACTGTGGTTTAGCGTTTTTAAGACTATGCCAAAGTTTATTACAGTTGTGCATGCGATTCCAAAATAAAATTAGTTTTGGGGGGCTTAATATCTTCTTTCTCTCCTTCATCCATTAACATAGTAATTTGGCATATTTTAAAGGTAATATTTTCTAAAACATGTGTAGACACCTAAAGAGGTGTTTTGATGTATGTGCTGTATATCAAATCTTTATTTTTAAATAAGAACAGATGTGAAACACAGAAAATTAAGATAAGTGATTCTGAATATGTTAAAATACATTGGCCAAGTAACTATATATTGACTAATAATTTATTAAGATGATTAGGCCAAAAAACTGTGTACACTTTAGCTATATTTGTAGAATTGTATCTATTTTTTGGCAACAATCAATTTTCTGAATTCTTCTGACCCAGGAAAGCCTCCTGATATAATTGCTACACCCCAAAAAGTTTAGCATAAACTTAGACAAATCAGTTAACAGTGTAATATTTCTCTAGCTATTCCCACCTTTTGACACTAAACTTCAAAAAGCTTAAAGAATTGAAATTATAAAAGAAATGTGATCATTTCAATGCCAAAATGGCAGAAACTTCATTATAAAATTTCTCAATACTGTGAAACTGGTGCTAATAGTTTATGTTTCAAATCTGTCCAAAGCTATAGCATTGTTTTTATCTTGTGAAGTTAGTGAACATGTGTAGACAGGTTTAGAGCCCAATTATTTAAGGTTCCTAGAAATATACACAGAGAAGACTGACCTACACTCAAATCATATGCTGGTCAGAAGCCCTTGAATAAACACCTTCATGCAACAAGTTAGAAAAGGAAGAAAAGGAGGGGGCACAGCAAGGAACAAGAGCCAGCCTAATGTTTTTAAGATAGCTACCCTCTCTGTCTCACAAGTCAGGCAGTAAGCTTTGTTTCTGTTCTTTTCCTTATTTAGAAAACACATTTGCACTGACAAACTGAATAGGACCTTCCCAAAGGGGAATATAATAAGTATCCACATAACATTAGCAACTGACCTTGGGTCTGAAAGGATGTAAAGACAGTTGATAACTGTGCAAGGCAGGTGAATTAATTATAGAGTTTTAGGTAAGAAAAATCGGCGTTTTCTTCTTTTTTACTTTCTAAATCTTAAAAGGTGCCTGAAGTCTCCACATTCTCTAGGCACAAGAAGCATGCTGACCTCCTCTTGGGGCAAAAGTGAAGTTATTCTGAGCGATCCACATCAGGGCAAGCATTTCTTTCCTTCCACAATCTATTAGGAAATAAGGAATTGAACACAGAGCACCCCATTATTCTCAAGCGATTCCACTGACTTTTCCCCCACAACTTGAAAACTGTCCTCGAATTTTCACTATCTTTATCCAAGTAAATAATTTAATAGATACAATATACGCTTTGCTTACATGTGAATTTTTCTCAAAATAACTTCTTAATAATCATAAAGCGAGGGCGTGTGCTTTCTTTTACATCTCATTAAAAAGAAAAAAACAAACAAATAGTAGAGATGTATCCTAAATCCTTGAAGGACAGATTGAAGCGCTCCGGCTCCTCTTTAAGTTGGCAGGCGGTGGCTTCGTAGGTTTTGGAAAAAAAAACAATACGAGTCATCGCGGACGAAATGGAATAGGAGACGTACAATCTAACGGTAGTGGAAGAGAAGTAGATGATCTCTCCTTTTCCTATCGCCACTTCAGTATCTCTGGCTTTTCCTCTCTGTGCCTCCCTAGTTTCTTTCCTTACCCCCCTTTCCCCATACCGCCCCCCCACACACACACACACCCGCCCCTTCCCTCCTCCTTCCCTCGCTCACTCGTCCCCCCTCCCGCCCCCCCTTCTCGCGCTCGCGGAGTCTCTGCTCCGAGTTCCTGGTTGGATAATTTGGGTTAATACTAGTGAGTGAGGTTTTTGCGGCTTCAAAGGGTATTTCAAGTTTCCGGAGCTCCTCCCCTCTGCACCGTGTGACAACAACAACTCGTCCAGCCGGCAGCCTGCACTTTTCAGCTCATTTTCTCTCTGTCATTCCCCTCTCAATCTTTGATCAATGTACTTGCCAGGGAGAACCCAAGTCCTCAAACCTCCTCCTTTTCACCTTCATCTTTAACTTTGTGCTAGAGCGGGACCCACACAACAACAGCCGACCCTCCCCGCCCGCCCCCGCCCCCCCTCAAACCAACCCCCGCTCCCAGCCCCCGGAGAGGACTCGCATTTCGACTTGCGGGACACTTTTGTGCGTTTCTCTCCAGAGCGCCTCTCGCGCTCACCCCTCCTGCGCTCGCTCTTTCTTCCCCTCACCTCCTTCTCTCCCTTTGCTCCTCGTTCTCTCCCGGAGTTGTTGTCGCTGCCCTAGTTCCTTCTCTCCCTTCTCCCCCTCGCCCTCCCTGGGGTGTGTGGCAACTTTCCCCCTCGCTTCTCCGCCTCCCGGTTCCCCTTCTATGTGACCATGGCAGTGCCGGCGGCTTTGATCCCTCCAACCCAGCTGGTCCCCCCTCAGCCCCCGATCTCCACGTCTGCGTCCTCCTCCGGCACCACCACCTCCACCTCCTCGGCAACCTCGTCTCCGGCTCCGTCCATCGGGCCCCCGGCGTCCTCCGGGCCAACTCTGTTCCGGCCGGAGTCCATCGCTTCGGCGGCGGCGGCGGCGGCGGCGGCGGCGGCGGCGGCGGCGGCCACAGTCCCCTCCACCGGCGGCGGCGGCAGCGGAGGCGGCGGCGGCAGCGCTGGCAACGGAGGCGGCGGAGGCGGCGGCGGCGGCGGCGGCGGCGGCAACTGCAACCCCAGCCTGGCGACCGCGAGCGGCGGCGGCATCAGCGCTGGCGGCGGCGGCGCCTCCAGCACCCCCATCACCGCGAGCACCGGCGGCGGCGGCGGCGGCGGCAGCAGCAGCAGCAGTAGCAGCAGTAGCAGCAGCAGCAGCAGCAGCAGCAGCAGCAGTAGCAGCAGCAGCTGCGGCCCCCTCCCTGGGAAACCCGTGTACTCGACCCCGTCCCCAGTGGAAAACACCCCCCAGAATAATGAGTGCAAAATGGTGGATCTGAGGGGGGCAAAAGTGGCTTCGTTCACGGTGGAGGGCTGCGAGCTGATCTGCCTGCCCCAGGCGTTCGACCTGTTCCTGAAGCACTTGGTGGGGGGCTTGCACACGGTCTACACCAAGCTGAAGCGGCTGGAGATCACGCCGGTGGTGTGCAATGTGGAGCAGGTCCGCATCCTGAGGGGACTGGGAGCCATCCAGCCCGGAGTGAACCGCTGCAAACTCATCTCCAGGAAGGACTTCGAGACCCTCTACAATGACTGCACCAACGCCAGGTAAAGGGGGGCGGGGGAGCCTCCGCCACCCGGGGTCCCTTCCCACCCTCCTCCTTACCCTGCCCCAGCTCCTTTCCAGATGCCGCTCGCCCCGCGCGCCCTCGAGCCGCGCGCCCCGGGGAGTGCGGCCCTCCGTGCCCTGTCCTCGGGGCTGACCGGCCGCTCCCGACCCTCAGAGAAGTTGCCACCTCGCCCAGCCCAGATCTCGTTCTTCCCGCCCGGTCCGCCCCTTGTTCGCCTGCCCACAGGGACTTGGCTGCTGGGGTACGCGGGAACCCCAAGCCTGGGGGCGGAGGGGAGGGGAGGGAGGAGGACGGTGCCTTTCCAGGAGTCACAGTCCCTCCCCGGGCCGCCCCAGCGTCCGTGGTCCCCGTTCAGCGCGCTGCCCTTGTGCGCGCTCCCTCGGACCCGGGCTCCACCGGGAGCCCAGGGACCCCCGCGGGGCTTGTCTGCGGCGCCGAGTGGTGTCCGGGGGGCGGGGGAGGTCGTGACCCTGCCAGGCAGGGTTCGGAAAGCAGGAGGACACGCTTTGGGTGAGGGCCGGAAAGGTCGTCTCGGGAGTGGGCCACTTGGAGGTCGGGAGGGGAAGGGCCGCAGAGGCCATGGGCCCCGGGCAATCCCGGGGGACCCGCTGCGAGTTCAGCCCCAAACCCTGAAGGGAAGCCTGCCGAGGGGAGGGGTCTGTGTGTGCGCGCATGTGTGCGAGTGTCCGCGTGTGAGCGTGTGCGTGTGCAAAGCAGATAATACGTTTGCCCCGGGGCAGATGCATGAGGGCCGGCAGGTTTTCTTCTGTAAGGGGAGGTGATCCGGGGCTTGTGACTCTGGGAAGCTGAACTGGAGACCTGGGCACGGAAGACCACAGCTCTCACTCTCTCCCTCGCTCGCTCTCTCTTTCTCAACAAACTGCCTTTTCTTTTCTTTTCTTTTCTTTTCTTTTCTTTTCTTTTCTTTTCTTTTCTTTTCTTTTCTTTTCTTTTTTATTTTTTTTTTTTTTTTTTTCTTTTCTTTTCTCTTCTTTTCTCTTCTCTTCTCTTCTCTTCTCTTCTCTTCTCTTCTCTTCTCTTCTCTTCTCTGTCTTCTTCTCTGTTTTCTCTTCTCTCTCTGAAATTTAAGGTTAGTAGCTCACGGATGAGCAGGTGCAGGCTTTGCGCTGGGATGCTCTTTGGATCCCTGTACTGGAGCCTGAGTGGTGGCTTCCCCATCCCAGCAAAGCGCGCCAATCCTGGAGGCCAGAGGACCGGGAGCCCGGCCAGACCAGTTTTATGCTAATGAACGCTCACTGGGGGAGGATCTACCCAGAGGGGGCGGGAGTGGGGTAACTTGTCAGTTTTGGGGTAGAAATGGCCATTTCACCCGCTTTCACAGCTCTCTTTGTCCCCACGGTTCGCTGCGGAAAGTTCAATTGTCAGGAGAAAGCGAGCAGGAAAAGTTGGAGACCAGAAGCGGGAGCGTGAGAACTCCGCGCAGAATCTGCGCGGAGACTTCCATGTCCTCCCAATAAGTTTAAAGACCGGGAGAAGGAACGGAGCTTTACCCTTTTAGGGTGTGTGCCCCTTGTAGGACTAGGGAAACTGAGGTGGGAAGGAGAGAGGGGTAGGGCGCGACCAGCAGGAAGCCGAGGTGGAAAAGCGAACTCTTTCTTGGTAGAAAAAAAAAGACTCCTGGCTAGTGCCCCCAAGGCTATAAGACAAAAAAGATCAACTCCGATTCAACAAACGTCCCATCCTAACCTAGCCAGAAACTTTTCGAGTTTATTTACCATTATTTGCGTGTGTGTGTGTGTGTGTGTGTGTGTGTGTGTGTGTGTGTGTGTGTGTGGAGGGGGAATGGATGTGTGTCTGTGTTTTTGAACCTTTATTTCAACTATTTTGGGGCGAATGCTCAGAGCGCGCGCGCGTGGTTACTGACGTGCGCGTGTCCAAGAGTATGGACAGGTGGCAGTAAAGATTGAGGGGGAATCTTGATCACTAAACGTCATTTACGGAGATAATTGGAGTCCTTGGACGTACAGAAGATAACACATTTGCCAAAAATCTTTTGTTACAACTATTAGAATCAGGGCAGAAAATTGTTCCGGAGTTGTTATACAGAATGCTAGCTGAAATTTGAAGCCAGTTAAGATATGATTGTTATAAAATTGTCTATTCTATCCAGTAAATTGTGAAGCGCCTACTGTTTTTCTCTTTAGTAATCGAATCACTGTGCTCTGGAATCCCTCTTTGTGTCTTTCTTACAGCATGCACTGTACTAGATAATTAATGGCCATTTCACATAACACAAAAAAATTGCTAGAGAAAACTTCCTTCAATGACTGCAGTGTTACAATCAATGTAAAGCAGGTAGTGTTACACCTCTTACAGTTATTCCCTTGTCGTTGTGTGTGTGTTTCTGAAATTTTTGCTTAGACTTTGAAATTGAAGTCCTCTCCACATGAATGGGGAATATTCTTAAAGTTATTGGCAACATTTCTTAGTGGGATTTTTTTTCTGAGGTTAAAAATTCCTCCCTGGACTTTTACAGCCAAGATAAGTTAACTCCAGTAGAACCGTTTACCCCTTCAAAAATATATTATTAATACTCTAATATATTTCAATCACCTGGTCTTTCAATTCAATATGTTATTCTAAAACTCTCTTTCAGGTTATTTTTAAATGATACCTGGTAAGTTTGTGGACTTACTACTGCATTTTGATCTTTTATCAACTACAGTAGTTGCTGAAACCCGTTAACCTTCGAAGATGTGTAATTGCAGATATCTACCTAGGTTTTGCTAACCCTACCAATGACTAAGGAAAAAGAAAACTTATCATTGAACTCTCTTTCACCAAAATATACTGTTTATAGTGCAATGCATTATTATTTTACACGATAATTACAAGTGCTATTGTCTTATTTCTTAACTTTAGAAGTAATACATAAAATATTTGGCATCTTGAATTTTAAAAACTAAAATTACTTTTTTTTTCATTCAAGTCCAGTTTGTTAATGCCTTTGTTATTAAGATCTTTTTTCATTCACTTAAATATATTGATTTCTTTCATTCTGGTTTCTTTCTCTGGCTACTTAAGAAACTAAAGGAATAATTTATGCAGAGGATAAGAGAAATTGTACAAAAAATCAAACTCTATAAAACAGTATATGCATAGTGTATAAAAAACATTAAATTTTAGCACTTTCAGCTTTTTATAGAACATTATCTAATTATGTGTCTTGAGAGCATTCAGATGCCAGGGAATCTGAGGAACCAAAATTATGTTAAAGAAAAGAAAGGTTCAAAAACTTATTCAAAGTGGCTCAGTAAGTTAGTAACAAACCTTAGGATGGGTTTAATTTGCTTGGGGCTATTGCATCAGTACGATGTCTATGAAAACTAGAATAAATGTTGGAGACTTCTGTCATTACCACAGGAGATGAAACAGAGACTA